CATCTGAATCATCCACATTTGTTCCTGCAGGAACACTCAGGAAATCTATGACACATTCAATAGAGGGCAAAGGAACAAACTCTGGTTATGGTTGCTTCACTTCTGAGCTGGGACAGTAGATCAACGCAACTTTATCTTTTCACTGTTTTAGTCTTGACCCAGACCATGTTCTCGTCTCTAAGTCACGCTCAAGCTCCTTTAAGAGATTCCACATGAAGTTCCATTAGTTTAGCTGGCTCGGTTTGTGCCTTTATGTAAATTGGTACAAAAATCTCTGTAGACCAAAACTCAGGACCAAAACTGATCCAGTTGCTGCTAATAAATATTGCCTACATTTATTTGTATAAATGCTTACGCTAAGTGTTAGGAATGGGTATACTAGTCTCTTCCTCTATCAAGGTTGCTCTTAATTTCTTATACTATCTCCACATTAATGACTCTTTTAATAATCTTGTACAGGTGAAGTGGACAGAGAGAAGAAAGAACAGTCTGAAACGATGCATACTGTGGACAAAATAGTTGTTCACCCTAAATATGTTGCTGCGACGTATGATAATGACATAGCCTTAATAAAGCTGAAGGAACCTATCACATTTTCGGAGTACGTTATCGCAGCTTGCCTTCCCAAAGCAGACTTCGCTAATGAAGTTCTGATGAACCAAAGATCTGGGATGGTTAGTGGCTTTGGGCGTGAATTTGAAGGGGGACGACTATCCAAAAAACTGAAAGTGCTTGAAGTCCCCTATGTTAATAGGAACACTTGCAAGCAATCGACTAACTTTGCAATAACAGAGAACATGTTCTGTGCTGGTTATGACACAGAGCAAAAAGATGCTTGTCAAGGAGACAGTGGAGGCCCCCATGTAACCAGATATAAGGATACTTATTTTGTTACTGGAATTGTTAGCTGGGGAGAAGGATGTGCAAAGAAAGGCAAATATGGTGTCTATACCAAATTGTCCAGGTTCTTGCGTTGGGTAAAAATGGCCTTGAATTTGTAGCGGTGGTGTGTCTCCTGATCCTTCTGATAGCTTCCTAGGTGCAGTTTTTGTAACAGAAACTTTTTTTTTCCACATCTGCTAAATTTATTTTGAGAGCTGATTCCTTAAAGTTATGGTGCTGCTTCTATTTGTATTATCCCTGGCTTTAAATCACATATATGGAGATTGTGAGTAGTGTTTTGAATTTGTTGAATGGTGGAATTTCCCCAAACAAAATGGTTGCTCAGTGGGGTATTTTGTTTGCTTTAGTTATTTTTATATTGCCATTTTGGTTCTTGTCTGTTGACTCAAGTGCTTCCACCAGAGGCTCATAAACATATTCTAAACAATCACTAGCCATGATGAAAGTGGGCAGGACAGGACTTCAGTTAATCCTCGTATTACAACCATCTGGCTCAGCAGGGAGTTTGTTATTTCTGGAGCTATTTAGATTGTCCCTTTGGATGTATTCAGAAGAGTAAGGGAGCAAGGGAGTTTGCGTGGCAAAAGCTGAGACACAAGTAAATATTCAATGTGTGATTGAATAATAACCACATATTCCACTGACTGGCCTACTCAGGTCACAGCAGCTAATTAAAATAGTGATTTGCTTTATATGGATTGTAGTTCACCTTAGTTTAATGTAAACATTGCTGCTCATCAGAAAAAAATGTATGTGCGTGTTCATTGTTTACTGGATTGTGTTGTGGATTGTGTTTGGCTGAGGATCGGAAATCTCCTATTTTTCTGGGTGTTTCTGTCAGGTACAATATTGATGTACACCAGCATTTGAAATAAAACATTCTTTCTTCTTCACTCCTTTTTGTTTTAACAAACCCAGACCTCTCAGCCTGTTACAGTTCATCATGTGCTCTACACCCTAACCATCCTAATGGCCTTTCCAAGGCTCCTCCAATCTGTGATGTTCCCCTGTTCTCTGAGGAACACTGAACTTCACCAGACACCTGCCACTTATCTCTTAGGGTTTGAGCTGGTACTGGCTAGTTTTGTATAGCTGGTGCTGTAAGCAAACCAGGCTGACAAACTAGAAATACGACTCTGTAAAGCAGCGAGGTATTTCTGCAGTCAGCAGTGATTGTGGGCAGGAAGGTTAGTGAGCAGGTCAGTTACCCCATCTTGATGGTCTTGACCTGCATAACCCCTCAGTGGGCTAACTTCAATGTTTACTCAGCAATGTTTGTTCCCTGGGTTCTTCTGTCCACTGGATTCCTGTTCCTCTCCCTTGTCCCACTGGTAGCCTACCCCTGTGCTCCAGGGTGAAACTTGCCTCTTCAAAAGAAAACCTCAGGCCTAGATGCTACCAAAATTCTATTTACATACCCTTGCTAAGGGCTTTCTTCTACTTCATTGGAGCTTGAGGGCTGAAGCAAAATGCAGACTGGGCTGTATGAGGCGTTGAGGCAGCTGAAGGCAGGACCTCCCTCTGGCAATGGTGGCAGTGGCTGGTGTGTGTATGTATGTTCTTGTTGAGCCAAATGAGAGCAGACACAGAACACGCAAGAGGGTGACAAAAGTCCATGTTTGTATAATTATTTGTCATTATTTGTGCTTTGTGGACTAGGGGACATGAGTGAAAACTGGGCAGCTTTGCTGTCTTGCCCTCCTTGCTCCCATTTGTCAGCTGTAGTGTAATGATATCCAGGTCTAAGGCTCATGGGAAATACCATTTTGGACTGAAAGAACAGTGTCAGTGTGAAATATGGGGTCAGTATGTCAATAAGCAGGGCTTTCAAATGCACAACACAAACAATGGGCCATTCTTCATGTTCTAAAGAGATGTGATAATTAAATAATCCTTCATATCCATTTATAAGGTACTGGGTGACAAAATGAACCCCACAAGATGTAACAATGAGGGGGGAACAAGAACCCTACCCCATCAGTCACTGTGGTTGTCTAAGTCTCCACACAATCATCACATCTCCACTTGATGAAGCATCCCACCTGTCTTTAAAGTTGGACCCTGCGGTGCTTCTCTTCTCATCCAGTTTATGAATCATACTGCAGCCATGATACCTGCCTTGTTTAATTTTGCTGTAAAAGTCATTTGGGTATTACAGAGGTCTGGTTGGAGACAACGGAACAAACACCTGAGTCATCTCCATTACAAGTGCTGTGAGTTAGATTTTGACATCCCAAAGGTGACGTGGGAGAGGTACTTAGTGGGACATGGGTTGCCCTGACTGTCTTCAGAATGTTTCATGGAAAATTTTCTCATACAAACACATAGAAAGCAATTTTGAGTGCACTTGTTTGCATTTAATTTTAATCTATAAACTAGAAGTAGCTGGCAATACAAAGATGGAAGATTAATAAAAGTAACTGTAAAAATGACAGAACTCATTAATGAGAATATATATATTAAAAAAAGAAAAAGAACAAGAAAATAAATGTATTAATGTATTTTAAAAGAGAGACTACTTCTAAAAACCCTATAAAACCCCAAAGTGTTTAAGGCAGTGTCTTAATTATCTCAAGGTCAAGAAAGGGTAGGAGGATTGATTAAAACTGTGAGCTCTTTGATGACCTCCAGAAGGAAGCACAGAAATACTGAGATCTGTATAAAGAATTGTAACCATCTTGGTATAAAACTAGAAAAGCTAAGGAGTGAGCACATTAAGATAAACATGATGTGAAAATCAATAGCTGATCTAAGTACAGAGATAATAGAAAAAAGCCCAAGAATGTTAGTCTGTGCCCAATGGAGAAGGAAGTCTTTCTTCCTTAAAGTACCAGATTACTTGAGTCCACCAAGGAGAAAAGAAACTGAGTTTCACTAGTCAGGAAAAAAATCACATCAAATTCTTCTAAGGGACAAATCACATCAATTTCCTCCAAGGACAGGATAACAGACTGGGTGACTGCAAAAGGTGCAGTACACCTCAGGTCTCTCCATTAAGGGAGGCTTCTAACACCATTTTATATAACGCTTTTATCGCAACAGGAAGACAAACACCATTCTGGATGAAACTACTGTAAGTTTGGTGCAAATCTGGTTGAGAAACTGCACTACTTGACTGAAAGATTATATGGAGGTGAGCCTGAGGACCTCTGACACTGATATTTTCCACAGTGACATGCAAGACAGAAGAGAGTGTTTACTCACTGCATTTAGCTCATTCCAGACTGGAAGGATGACCATAAGTTGACATGAGAGTTCAGGCAATCTTGTGAAACTGGAACAGTGATTCTACGTAAATAGGAGCCAATTATGTAAACACAAAACCAAAATTTCACCTTTGGTCTCACAACACACAACCACAGAAATTTATAAAATATGTAATAAAAATAAGACATCATCTCCATTTTCACGAGCACAAGAAATAATGAGATCCCATCACTCTAAGGAACACTCAGATTAGATATTAGGAAACACTTTCTAGACATTGTAAGGCTAATTAAGGAGTAGGTTAAGCTGCGTGGGTGAGCTGTGGAATCTCATTGTGAATCTGTAGGAACAGGTTAGACAGCATCTGTTAGGACCAGTTTACTTGCTCTCACGCTGTCAGAGCCAGGAAGAGCTCTCACATTCTGCCTGTGATCTTGCAATACCTGAGCTAAGGCAAGTAGCATGCACTATATACAGATGGAAAAGGAATACTGCAAGGATCTATCAAGAATACAATATTTCATTTATTACTGATGCTTTAGTTGCTAATTTTTGCCTCTTATCCACACCCGTGTTCATCTTTCCCTTAGTATGATGGATGTTCTGGAAAGTACAGATTATGCCTTGATTTGCCCTCAAAGAGCTGTCAGTTATAGCTGGGAAACACAGCATAAGATGTAGAATGATGGTGGTCTACCTAATGTTGACAGCTTACCATTTTTAAAATAATTGTAGTTACAACTGTTATGGTTATTGAGGCCTTTGGCAGGAAATGCACCATATTTCCCAAAGTGATTCATGTTTGCAAGCAAGCTTTTATGAGCTACTTGTGTTTTTATAAAGTCACCATGAATCTATACATTTGACTCCTTTGCAGTCATACCAAGTGCATGAAAGGTCAACTCAGGAATTGTGAGCGGTTCTGCAAAACTGAAGATGAAGGAGTTATATGTTAATGTGCTGCTGGCTATGCCCAGGGCAATGACAAAACCTGTGTATCTGTAGGTAGGAAGCGGGAATTAAAGTTCATTCTATGGGACACACATCACATCTGCACCTTGTTTGGTAAGTGCTGGTGTGTTGCAGTGCTGTTGTAGCATAAAAAATAATGTTAATTGTTCAGACCTTTGACATTGCTTGAGGTGTTGATAACAAATTTAATAAGATCTTAGGTAAAGGTCATAATTTAAGTTATATCAAATTGTTCAACTGTGAGAGATGTGTGGCAGCAAAAATAGCTCAGGTAACTGTTCTATGCAAGTGGGTGCATTCTTGCAGGGGACTGCAGAACCCGTGTCCCAGCAGGAGCAAAGCCATATGAGAAACAAGTGATTACAATGGGCCCAGATTCCTCTTCTCCCACAGACTGAAACAGATCCTTCATGCTTTGGAGGATTTTGTTAGAAAGCAATAAGTTAGATTTTTTGGTTGGTGAAAACTGGTGTCTATTTTCCAGGCCTGAGTTGTGCTGAACATCTACAGATACAAATGAATAGGAACCCAAGAAACTTCTTCCTTTACAATATATAGTTTGCAAGGACTCATCATTTCAGTAGTAGTAAAATAATGTGACTGTAGTTGTATCTCACTTGTTTCTCCTCAAATATCACCTGTTTCATCACCTTTCATATCACATATCACCACCTTTCTCTTTTTTTCTAATAACAGGTTTTCTGCAGTTACATACAGTAACCTAAACACATTAATAAATACTGACATTGAATTTAAATCCATCAGTTTTGCCTGTTTTCAAATTGAACATTGGCTTATTAGTCTCAGTCTATTCTTCTGTCTGTCTGGTGATATTTGTTATAATGCCTTTTGTAATTTAATACCAAGTTACTGTCATGAGTTGATGATTCCAGACATGGAAGACTTTACTCTATTTTTCAATTACAAAAGATTTAATAACAGCAGGTACCTGAAAATAATTATACCAATACTGTAAGATAGGTAACTTTTAAATACTTTGAAAATGCTGAACACATTTGCCCACTTACTCAAAACAGGTACATTTTAGAGGTGGAAAATCATTTTCAACCATTTTGATCCTTTTGCATTTGCAAAGATTTTATTAATGTCTTGAAAAATCTAGCAGAGCCAGCCCTGACAAGAACACCTGCATATCTAATTAGATCGCAAAAGGCTGCTGTTGAGGAGTTTTCTTGAACTATTAAGCAAGTTTTTCTCATTTTCATGAACAGTTGATTCCCTGAAAGTGACGTGTTTCCCTGCAAACCCTGTTCCTCCAGTGTAGGTACTGCAAAACCCATGCTCCAGCAGGGTTGAATAATTTCTTGGGGGTGAAAACCAACACAAGGTGCACTGGAAGCTAGATTTAGTTTTCTGACCATGAAACTGTACCTTATACCAAGGGGTCTCTCAGACAACCTCTGTTGAATGGCACTTCAGTGACAGAAATTGCTTTCAACAGCAACTGTCTGTCCTGCTGTGCTGGAGGTTACTGTCCCTTGCATGTCATTTGGCTTGGTGCCCCAGGAACTGCACAGGCACCATATGCCCCAGAGAAGTGGAAGACCATAGTCCTCCATGCCCTAAATTTTGGCTTAAATCAGCAAGAAAGATAGCTCTGAGCTCAGGTGGAGGCTGGTAACAGCAGCTGAGCCTTCATAGCTCTGTGCTCAGTGTTATGGACAAGAACACCTTACTCTCAGCATGTGACACATGCTTCAAAGTCCCAGTACTGTCCAAACATCAAGTATTAGCATTTTGGTTTTGCCTTTGCAGTCAAGTTCCCACACGAGATTAAAAAATCATGAAGCCAGTTGATAGAAGTCACAGGAATCACAGCAAATCAAGATGCTCATCCTGAAAATGAGGAAACCACAGAGGCCCCAAGCAGCCATCTGGAGGTCACCAGAGAGGCTGTCAGTTTACCCAGGATGTCCCCGTGGCAGGTAAGGAGCCTGACCCTGCTCACCAGGACTGGCACCCATTTAGTCTTCACTGTGCTTGTCCATGCCTGCTCCCCAAGGGTGTCTAGCCCAGTCTGAGACAGACTTCCCTGGCATCAACATTTTAGATGGGATATTCCACTTTCCTGAGTACTGTATTACTGCACAGATCTCCTACCATAAATAACCTTGTGTCTCCATTTCAGCATCAAGCAATTGCTGAGAGGGGGAGGGTAGGAGAGAAGTAGGGTTGCAGGTATGGGATGCAGAGCTTGGTGAGCCCTTTCCCTCTCAGTCACCTGATCATGCAGACAGCATCATGACCATATCAGAAGAGTAGTCTGAGTTCCTGTTGTGGCCAAGACTAAAGTGAAGTAAAAAACCCAAGCAGGAACAACGTTATTACAATATCAGGTAAATTTTGTTTTAAAAATAGCAACCAAAAACTGTTGGTAAAATAACTGAATGCACAAACTTTGCTTAGAGCCAGGATAAAGATCTGCCCTGACAAGTCTCCCATTGTGGCAGCTACATCTCAGTGTAACTCTCAACTCCTCTGAATGAAGATTGCCTTTTTGACAGAAAATAAATATGAAAATGTCTACTTCAAGAAAACTGTTTGAATCTCATTTAGATGTTCAGGATTTTGTGCTTTAGTTTTCTTCTCTCTCTTTGCCAGCTGTTCTTCTAGTAGATGAGTATGATGAATGGTTTTGCAGGGGGACAGTTCTGAATGAGTATTTTATACTTTCTGGAGCTCATTGCATTAACCAGTCTAAAGACTTCTTGTTGGTAAGTACTTGTCACTTTTCCCTTTACTACAAAAAAAAAGAAGTGTCCTGTGTTCATGTCTCCATATGCAAGATGCTGAATTCTGCCAGAGTTTTTCTTGCCCTCTTGTTATTCCTTCCTGCTCCTTGACTGACAGTGTCTCTTGCCTCTTGACTAACTGTGAAATACATGTTTAAATTTGTAGAATGGACAGTTTCTTTAAGCATAGCTTGGCCTAGAGTAGCTTATATATGTTAGAAGCCAAATATAAAATGGGGAAGGTATGTTGGCAGGTAAGGTTGAGATGATGTGGTTAAATTGGTCTAACATTACACATTTATGCAATTTCCTGTGTTGGCCAAACCCTGAAGAATTCCAGATGCCTCATTCAGATATTAGCAATAACTGTTTTGACAGCATGTAGATACTATTCTGATACTGTTCCATACTTGAAATATCAAATACATTATTTATTACTGTTGTTTATTAAAAAGTAGTTTATCACAAGTTCTAGGCACTCAAAAATGGTATTCTGAGTCATAAAAATTGTACTCAGCCTACAAGAGTAAAGCAAAAATTGTGGTTGTCTAAACTCCAATTGTTTGTCGGTTTAATTCCCAAAGAGAAATTTATACAAATCAAGAAAGATCAAATACATATGTAAACTGGTAAATTTTTGTATGCAGAATGTTGAAGTTTTAAAAGACAATAAATATCTAATTACTGTTTAAGTCTGACTATATTGCTCTACAAATGAGAGGGGCAAAATTCTTCTTTTCTGTGTTGAGGCTTTTGGTTGTGTATCACGAGTGCCATTGGCAATATTGTAATGAAGCCCAAAACTTTATATCAAAGTTTTCATTAAAAGCATTATTCTGATTGCAAAGTTCTGATTTTCTACTTGCTTGGCATTTTGGCAGCCTTTTAAAACTCCTCCAAAATGGGTATAAATTGCTACAGCTTCAGCATATAGGACTGGTCTATTTTATTTGTACAGTACAATACCTATACAAAGTGCAAGGAACATTGGTTCCTTCTTTTATCCAAAGGATTTACCCCTTCTTGAATTCCCATAGGATCTCCATTGAAGCATCAGATTATAGTTCAGCCCTAAGATATATATTGAGAAAGCCAAATCTGATATATGAACTGTGGCCATGCTCAGATGTGTCCCAGGGACTATATGGAGGCCATTGCCCAGGGCTTGCACTTGCTGACCTATCCCTTCATTGCTATCCGTCTCTCCTCCCACACAGCCCTGCATTACCACTTGCCCAAGCTCTTCAGCACTCCTGGTTTATTCATAACCAAGTATAAAAGGCCTGGATCATCTTGGAAGATGGACTTTGGAACTTGAATAGGCTTTTTTACCATCTTTTTTCAATACGGACAGATTTCTTTCCCCTGTCATAAATACAGAAGTCAGCCCCCAAAAGCAGTCCAGCAGTGTGACAGTTGCACACGTCCACAGAGTCCATGTCTCCCATGGCTTGGGAGTCAAGTTTATGGCAGAAACCACTTCCACTACCCACTTACATCTGTTTAGGCCATGGGTGGAAGCTGTAAGGTGCAGACTTTCCACTGGTGCTGCTGAGGTCAGATCAGGATTTCCCTCGGGTCTGAATTCCAGGTAAAGTCCAAACGCTTCTCTTCATTACCCACTTCAGACTGTGTCAGTGTTAATAGGAGTTTGCCTGAAAAATCCACTGCTTAGGTTTTGCTGAGAACCATTTTTAGCCTGAAGTTCAGCACAGGGCAATGGGGAGATGTTGTCAGAGAAAATTGGAGAAAAAATAATAAATCCTTATCCAAATGGCACAGACTCCAAAGTGATTTTTCTTCATTTTTCGCAAGGGATCAGGATATTCCTCATCTCAGAGCAAAATCAAACACCTTACCAACCTCCCTTATGCATCCTTTAAACTGTCAGCTAGGAGCTGAAGTGCTACAGTGTCGTCTGTGCATGTGCTCTGCCATCTTCTGGTCAGTTTTATTGGTTGCACTTTTGGTAGGGAAAAAGGTATTAAAATAAAAGTGGGGGGAAGGGGGTAAAGAAACACGAAGGTGGATGTAAAGAAAGAATGTATTTTAATAAATGAAATATTAACAACAATTGCTATTTTTAACAACATATGCACAGAAATAGAGAATGTCAGAGCTTGCACCTACACAGATCATAGAATCATAGAAGGGTTTGGGTTTGAATGGACATTCAAAGATGACCTAGTACAGCACCATCTGCCATGGTTAGGGACACTTTCCACTAGATCAGGTTGTTGAAAGTCCCATCCAGCCTGGCCTTGAACACTTCTACAGGTGTGGCAAATGTTGGAGTAGTTACAATATTGGAGTAGTTACAAGGTGGCTTTTGTTTTCACTGCCAGGCTGTCAGGAGACTTGCACATCCTTGTGGCTATGCTCACGGCCTTGTTGTGAATGCAGCATCCACAGGAGAGAATCAGAGCTCTCTGGGATTACATTCCTTCCCCCTGTTTGCTCCTCCATTGCAGGTTTTCCTGCAATCTCTAACCAAACCACAAAAACAGCGCTGATGCTCTTTTGAAACAGCTGCATGTTCCTCCTGCTTTTAGAAGTGCTGATGCATGTTGGATTTGGCAAGAAAAGCTTTTGGTTTTTGTCTGCATGTGGTGAACAGACCTGGCTGATGGCAGTCCAGGTGTTAAGCTGAATCATAACCCATTTTAACTGTACTAAGCATTAATCCTTTGCAGAGTATGTGTTTCCTTTCTGCTGGCTGGAGAAAGCGCATCTGACATTTTTGTAGCTTCTCTGCACACAAAGACCTGTGCTGCCTATAAGCATGCATGCTGATCACGCTTCACATGAGGAGAATGGAAATGGGATTAGCTCATGTCACTCATGGCTAGCTCTTGACCAAGACTACACATGACTGCAGTCACCTGTTTTGGATAGTCTGGTGCCTAGTCAGGGCTGAGGGATGTGCTCCCATTTTGTTGTTCTAAACAGTTGTCTGCAAGGGAGCATTTCTTCTTTAATTTGAAAAAGCACTATCTTTTTCTTGAATCTGCTGCTTCCACTTCCATATTGTCTATGGAAAGAATAGCCTAAATCTCCACAACATATTTGCCCCAAAGATCAGCCCTCTGACAGAGGAATTACTGAGTTAAGCCATGATAAAACCTGGCCTCTGCCCTCTCCATCTCTCTGGAGCTGACTACAATTGCTGTGATTTACCTGCAGCTTCTCCATGGCATTTCCCTCTGGGGAGAGACCAGCCAGGTAGTAGGCAGTCAGTCCTCATCCCCTCCTTTTCCTTATGAGAAAAGATGGTGCGTTGGGGATCTGTCAACACTCAGGGCACAGGGCAGTTTATCTCTTCAGTTTGTCAGGCAGGAGATGAGTGACCTGCGTGGAAAAGGACAATGTGGAGGACAAGGAGGTGGCTTGCTGTAGCCATGAGAGGTTTAGCAAAAGGGGTAATGTGGCTGTGGGGTTCAGCAACATTTTGTCTGCTGCCCTGTGCCATATGGGATGGACAGGTGTTGCCCAGGGTGGGCTGCAGCGGGGCTACAGTCACTCACACCTGCTCTTACCCCCTCACCCTGCTGGTCAGGACTCTGGGTAACCTGGAGCAAGGACAGAGCACAGAGGAAGCCAGTAGGGTGCTGAGGACTGTGCCAGAGGCAAAATGGGGAAGCAGAGGAGGCAGAGGCAAGAAAGTCACCAGGTCTACTGGCAGCACAGATGGCTCAGAGCAGAGGGGCTTGGAGGGGCCCCTGCTACCACCCCACTTTCAGTGAGTTGGTGGTTACTAACCACCAGCACCACAGTCCACTTCTCCTTGAACTATCTTCAGTATCCACAACACACAATTAACTGCTGTGTCTGCGTGCCCCTCGGAAGGAGGGAGAAATGTGGCTGCAAGCTCAGCCATCAGCTTTCATTATTTGCTTAGTGCAGAGGTGGTGTTTTCTGGTAAATAATAGCTGTCCCCTTTCACTAGCATTTCCGAAAAGCATGTGACCAGTTACTCAGGACAGCTGCCCTTGACCTCTCAAGCTGCAGCAGGGCTGATGGCCAGCCAGGGTCCGTAGCATGAGGTGGGTGGCATTGGCAGGTTCCCATCACTGCCTGGGCAGCTGGCCTGCAAACCCACTTTCCCTGGATTACTGCACTGGGCAGGAAATTACTTCCATGGGAACTGGTTGCTAGAGCAGGAACAACTCCCTCAGTTACTCCATCCTGAGGAACTGCTAATTTCATATCTGACACTGCCTGCAGGCTTCATCCTGGAACCAGTAACCCTCCAAGCTGGGGGCAATCCTTAAGCAAGGCTACAGGAAATAGAGTGCGAATCTCCTTAACAAAACACATCACCATGTGCTCACTGTGGTAATTAAAGGCATGAAAGAAGAAATCCCAGTAACACTTCATATGGAAAGACGTGCAGAAAGACTGCCCTTTTAAAACCCTCTGTTTATTACATTTTCCACAGTCATATGAAAATTAAAATATAAAGCCTGTTGCATTGATATCAATACAGAAAAAGCAAAGTCAGTGCCATATGTACTGAGTACACTGTGTTCCATTCCGAAGGACACAGCTTCTCAGTCAAGGGATACTTTTTTAAAAAAATACACACAGTCAGAAAAAAAATGACCATGTAAACTAAGATATGGTGAGAATACAGCTTCTGAAGCTCTGTGTTGTTAATATTAACCCAATTTGAATAATTAACTTATATTTAAATAGTTCCTTAATTGGTTTGCAAAATGTAAACAGTTTCTAAAACTTGTGTTTTAGAAAGTCCTGTGCTGACATCAAGTGGTGACATATTTTTCAAGCTAAAGGGAGCCAGACTTGCTGTACTGCATATGCACAGGATGATATTATTACCAGTGAGTAGGTAAAGGCAAGTAGTCACAGGTCACTGGCAGGTGCTTCCATGGGGATGGACAGACAGAAGAGATTGGAGAAGCAACTGCTGTGCAAGGCAAGAAGGGTGGGGTGAGGTGAGCTGAGCTGAGCTGAGCTGAGCCTCCGCAGCAGCTCCTGGGCAAAGGAGGTACTGGCTGAGCCTCCCAGCACCCACCAGATGTGACCACTGGCAACAGCCCTCCTTTTCTCTAGCCAAGAAACCTCTGGTTGGGACAGGTACGAGGCAGCTT